TTTGCTCTCTTTGTTGGAAGAAATTCAGAAGAAACTTTGAGATTTTAGTTTTAAATACGTAACAACAATTTTCAAAACAAGTAACATTCCGAACTTCGGACTCTCGCGCGAATCTCGATGTGTCAATGGCCGATTACTTTCACATCACGCAATCTGCTCGATCGTTCGATTTTGTAACCCGACTGTTGCACTCGTAGGATGCGCTTACTAGTGCAAAAGGGGAGGGAGAGAGAGAGAAAGAGAGAAAGAGAGAGAGAGGGAGGACACGTGCATGGAATAAATTGGTAGTTTTCGAACACGCGCGGAACCAGTATTGTACAATTTTGAAAGTCTACCATTTCTATTTAAGAGAAAATTGCATGTGTTTTCCTGGTTTTTCGAAGCGTATAATCGATGCGCGAAGCAAAATGTTATCCGATATTAGTAAATATTTTTGTGCAAAAAAAAAAAACTTGTTTCAACAGTTTTATACAATTTTAAAAATTTTGCAAAAAAATTTTATTCAAATTAAATTGAAGTAAAACAAAATCCCCTCTCCTACCGCTTGAGATTCGGGATGTAAAAAAAATTTTGCAAAATTATTCGCGAAATAACGTAATATCCGCGTATCGTTCCGCGAGAATCCAAGACTGACACAGTATGTTACTCTCGCGCTCGTATTTCATCAATACCGAAGATGTTTCGAAACAAAATGCACGCCATTTCTTTCACGTACAACATACAAGCGGTAACAGATCTAATATTACTGCGCCGTCGCACATTTTGCTATTAAACGTAATAATTTTCTACCGCGATGTGCCATCGTAAAAAGTGTAAACATTTAACGCGTAACGGATATAGCGTTCCGAAGCATAATCGTATCCGATTACTCGCCAATCGGTTTTTCAATTATATCTTGCAGCCGTAATTGAGTTACAGCACTGGTATATGCGAAACCGTCCATTATCCGTTTGTTTGCTGATTATCGACGATTCTTGAGGGAGAAGGGAGGGATAGGCTTGGCCATCTTTTCCGTTGTCATGATCGATGATTTGCGATCTTTTCTTCAGATCTTTCTTTCGAGTATCGTCCCAGTTAATGAAACGCAAGTAAAACAAACAAGTTTTCTTACCGAAGATAGTTTTTGTGTATTTCCTGTATGTTTATCACATTCGTAAATATACTATAATCATTGAAACGTGTAATTTACCAGACGAGAGAAAAAAAGAGAGAGAGAGAGAGAGAGAGAGACGTTGAAAGTTAAGGTATACTAGAAAATAAATTGTTTTTACCTCGATCACAGAATTTTTTTGTAATATTTTCTTGTAAATTCCTGTTTTGAAACGATGCGGTAGGAATCATAATGAAGTTCGCGTGATTAGAAAATAATGAATAATAACTAATCTTTATAGCCGAGCGATGACGTCAATAGCAGCTACTTTTTAATGCCTTTTACAATTTACAGCAACGGGAGTCGTGACGCAAGGTTAGTGTGACAACGCACATTTCGTGCAGAAAAAAAAAAAATCAAAAGTGTTTCCTAAGCGATTAAAAAAGATTTGATCGATTTTCAGTGTTGACGCGGAAAGTCGTATGGTAGTATTACGGCACATGACATTTAAACGATGTTGCGAAACGTATATATAAAAGAAAAACAAAAACAATTTATTGCGTTAGTTAGGCGCTGACTTTTGTCACAACCGCTAATAGCGGTGGAATTGTAATATTTTCGAGAATCGTACGTCCCCGAGAGTTGCCGCAAAATATCGCCGCGAGATAAGTTTTGTAATATCATCGGTAAAAAACAAACAGTTTACAGATTCGCAAAGTGTAATTTAATTTTCTTGCATAGCTGCTCACTTTGTAGAATACGATGAAAAATGTATAATTTTTCTCTCTAAGCAAAAATTGCAAAATTCTAAGTACAAACGTCACTTAGCTGCTAATACTGACGATAAGACAGCTTTCGTAAAAAACAAAACGAAAAAAAAAAAAAAAACATACAGATAAAATTTGCGTCAGATATATTCTTGAATGTATTTTTGTTTTAAGTGTGAAAAATTGTAAAAAGAATCGAGGATTGTGTGTCGGGTGTTGCAAAACAATTTTTTTCTCTTATCCATTTTCCTATCTTGCAACATGTTGCAATATTATTGCGTTTGATTCGAATTTATTCTCGGATCAATACTGACCGGCATATAGTCGGAATGTTTACGACAATACACGAGTTTTTCATCGACGAAGACAGTGGCAATGTGTGGCGGGACAGTATAACGATTGAGCGAGTGTTACGACTTCAATTTGCGCGTCACTCTCGCGCGACACAAAAAGTAGGCAAAGCCTGTCGTCATTTTTCCCGGAAGCAAAAATCTTTGTGTAAAAATAATCGCCTAGCTAACTAAACACGCTCCTGCACAGTTTTATTGCGTGGCGTATTTCGTGGAAAAGACAGAAATGTTACAATCAAGATTTGCGACGTCGCGATGAGTCAGATGTCGAAAATGACGTTGTTTCCTCAAAAAAAAAAGAAAAAAGAAAAAACATAGCGCGCAACGAAACTACGTCGTCTTTCGATCTTGTGTACAAAGACTTTTGTCACGTAGAAATTGGGCCACACCGTCCCAATTGAAGATTACTCACACGCTGACGAATCCGATTAACTAACGCTGATTAGAGAGACACAAGAAACGACGCAAGAATAAGATGTTAAGAACGAATATAATACGGTTTTGCTTTTTTTTTACATGTGTTTTATTTGTGTGAAGTTTCAGCGACTCCCGGTAAATTCGAAAAGTCAATTTGTTTGAAGGACGCTAGTTATTTTCTTTTTTTTTTTTTTCATGTACAAAACTCATTATTATAAAATCGTTTTCATAATTAAACATCGGATTACGTACTGTCGGAAACTTTTGAAATTGAACTTCAAAAAGCAGAGAGTTTGCTCGAATTTAATTGAAGAATGTGATGCAACATTATACGTATTACACGGTTAATATTGACTGCGGTTGTCCATTCCACATTTGTTTGCGTTATAATCGATAATGTTCGCAGGTGTAACAAACACGTTTAACTATCTCATTACGTTGTTTTTATACTTCCTCTTTCTGCGTATCTTATTTTTATACTTTTTATTATAAGATACATACTGGTACGTGCGCGATACACTTTGTATATCAAACGTCCTGAGCTTTTAAGACACTCGGAACATCTTTGTAACGCCGTCTGAGCTGCAATATAAATAGGACGGGAAAATTAAACCCGACGAGACGATTGGCGCTCGCGGTAACGTCAACAAGCGTGTTGTGCAATCGACCCTAAGGGTCTGTTGCCCTCTCTCGGGGTTAACCAATTGAGACAGCTGTCCTTTTTCAAGATCGGAGGCTCCGATACATGTGTACACACATACACATGTGCGCGCAGAAGGAACATTGAGTCTAATCTGGAGTCCTAAATAATTACACGTCTTCTGAATCATACATGTGTGTATCTGCACGCTTGAGAAAGCGCGCGTTGTGTTTTGATTATTGGTTTTTTTTGTTTTTTCATACTTGCATATCTAAGAGTACAAATATCGATCAAAACTTCCGTTCCGCGTTTCTAGGAAAAAAATTAAATAATTTATAACGGTACATTTCCGTTTATTGCATACAAATATGCATATTCTTGTAATGCGCGCGCATACAATCAAGTTTCAAGAATAATTCATCGCGGTTAGTCATAATCTTAACACACTTCGAACAATCGTTTTTAACGCGATTGCGAAGGGGGAAACTAATTTCTCTAGCATTTTATTTCGGAGTAAAGTATGTAGCGCGCGCGCGCGCGCGTCAATAGAGTATATACACGGCAACACGGTCGTGTACATTTCCCAAGACGCGCAAGACCGGTTTTCGTTGTGAGTGCAGCGCAGAAATTATTATATTGCAGTTCGCGCCGCAACAATCGTGTGTAAGAAAAAAGCTCTCCCCGGAGCCGTAACGAGTGTCTTTCTCGTAAGAGGGGCTTCACGGGGCACGGCCGCGAAAGGAAGCGGAAAATGTGCAAGAAACCGATCCGACCGCGCGCGCGCGCGCACACACACACGCACACACGGTATGTAAGCAAGTTGTGTAGCCAGAGAGCAGTCGCATAGTGCCGCGGGGGCCACCGGAGCTGCGTTACGCGCCGCGTCCTGACCCGTATTATTTTTCTCTAAACGTGTGCGGTTCCCCACTCCACGTTCGTTCGCTTCCCTCTACTCTCGTGTCGTCTTCCGCACCTCCCTTTACCACCCCGCTCACCGCCCCGCGGCACGCTGCGCGCACGCACGAATTACGCAGAAACGAATAAACAACACGCGCGAAAGCGGCGGCGTCAATGAAGAGACGAAGGACAACACAGAAGGAAGAGAAGAATCTCGATCGCGGCTTGTGACAGCGGTCGCGGTCGCCCCGTGTCCACGTCGTCTTCGTCAACACATCAAGCGCGGCACAGTCGAATTTCGCGATCGTGCACGCATTCGCGCGCGCACATACGCATACATACGCTCTCTCTCGATGAACTACGACGACAACGACGGGGGACAAGAGGAGGAAGGAAAAGAGACAGAAGCGGGAGAGTAACACAGAAGGGGGGTATATATACGCGAACGGGCAGCGGGGGAAAAACGGCATAGTGAACGAGAGGGACGCCGACTGTACGCGAGAATGAAAAGAGAATGAAACGGCGAGAGAAAAGAGAAGGAAAGAGATAGGACAACAAAGAGAGAACAGAAATGAGAGAAATACACCGGTCAAACATGGCAGGCAATGCCATGCAGACGGAAAAAAACAAGATTTTTAGCAAAAGCGAATGGGCGAGCGTGTGTGCATGCGTAGAGGGAGAGAAAGAGAGAGAGAGAGAGAGAGAGAGAGAGAGAGAGAGAAAGAAAGAACGCGAGAAGGGAGAAAAGAGACGGGGGAGGGGACACAAAGAGCGGGATCTTGAAACGCGCGCGACACCGGACTTGGGTAAAAATTTTTGCAAATGCAACAAATACTCACGCTTCTCCGCTTAAAAGCGTTTATCCTCCTGCTTCCCGTTGTGTTCTCCTGTTTTCGTGGTTGCTCAACGTGGTGGAAAACGTCGCTTAGACGTACACGGGGCGGACGTACCAGAGTGGACGTTATTAGCAGAAGAACGTGGAACGACGTGTCGACGACGACGACGATAGTATTAAGCGCGCACACACACGCGGGGGTCACGCACTCTTCCTCCGATTTGCGAGCGACTCGTCTCTCGTGTCCGCGCGACGGAAAAACAACACCCGGCGTCCTTTTCCGTTCTGTTCGTTCCCCTCCTCGTTTGATGCACGGGAGCGGGTGTACTCTTTCCTACTCTCAACACGTTCTCGCTCGCTCTTGTTCGCCGGGCGCGCGCGCGCGCGCGCGGGGAACGGTGAGGCGCAACGTACGAACGAAACAAAAAAAAAAAAAAAAAACTAAACCGGCACCGCACCAACAAACGCGCGTTACGGTTTAGTGCGCGCGGCACGTAGTGTTATAACGTGTGGCAGTTTTTTTTTTTTTTTTTTCCGAAGCAAACCGCGTCAGATGTTACCGGAGAACGACGCGCGGCGCGTCCGGCCACATACAAACGAAACGTGTGTGCTTCGTGTGTCTCACGAAAGATTTCTTCTCTCTCACTCTTTGTTGACGGCGCGTAGTGGTACGACAACGATGACAGTAACGACGACGTGCAATCGCGACGTAACGACGATCAAAATGGCGTTTACCAGACCGCCCGCGCGCGATCAGGTGGAAAATGCCGGAATGCCGCTGCTAGGAAACATCGACTGACTGCCAAGCTCCCGCAGCCCTAAGTGGTTTGACGTTAAGAACGGGCAGAACGGGCTAGAACGTGTGAGAAAGACGAGCGGCAAGACAGAGAAGCGAGAGCGAGCGAGACGGAGAGAGAAAAACGCGCGAAGCAGGAGAAGAGGCGGCCATGCGAGCGAGTGAGACCGCGGTTCGGCTGCGACTGAGTGGGGGTAGACAGCGTCGCGCGGTAGGGATAGGAGGGGCGCGATTGCTCCCACTCGCGTTACCCGCGCGATCGGATGACTCCGACTGCTTTCGATTGCTCTCGCCGCGGGAGCAGGGCCGTCTAAGCGCGCGGTTAGGCCTAACGCGCGCGTCCGCGAGAATTTCACTGGCGATTAAAATTAACGACTCGAATGCGGATCCGATGTCACGTGCTGTCTGCGACGTCGTTTTCGCGCGTTTTGTAACGCCGTATGTAACGACGAATGCGCGATACGATATTTTCTTACGTATCGCGACGAATAATAATCTGTTATTCGATGACACAAAAAGAAAGAAGTTGACAAAAAGAAAATACTACTCGAACTAATCGCGCGTATTATCCTCTTTCGATCTGTTCCGACGCGCGGTCTCACAATTTAATGTATATTCGTTCGCGCGAATTCAAGATAATATTCTCTTCGCTCGCTCGCCCTAAGGCGAGAGCCGACGGCGCGCGATCGTGGGTGGTTCGCGCGCCGTTTCTTCCCTCACCGATTCTCCTCGCCTCTCCGCTCCGTCGGCCGGTGCGCTTTGCGCGCTTGTTCGCCCGTCTCGCGAGGAATTTCTAAAAATCAATATACGCGTGCGAGGAGGCGAGAGAAGGGGCTGCAAAGCAAAAAAAAAAAAAAAATAAAAAAGAGGAAAAAAAAATTCGATATCCCGTTCGTCCGGGCTCTTCTCCTTTTCCTTTTCCCCTTTTCCCTCCGATATGTCTGCTATCTTTCTTTTCGTTTTTTCTTTTTTTCTCTCTTCATCCTCTCGCCGAAGTGAATCACGCGCATTCGGCCTCTCTCTCTTTCTCTCATAATCCTCGACGTCGCGAACAGGCGGCGGAGAAGATGGGGGGAGAGAGAAAAGGAGAGACCGATCGGTTTCAAGGAAGAGGACTTGCCTCGGAGGAAGTTGGAAGAGATTGCGCGAGGAGAGCCTACACGGTGGAGAGAAGCGCGGGAGAGTTTATTTTCTCAGAAGCGCGCGCCGCGCGCATTTGGTATAGTCTCTTTCTCTCTCTCTCTCTGTCTCTCTTTCTGCCTTCTCTTGTTGTCCGTCGAATAAATTCATTCAGACGCTCGCGGTTTGCTCACTCGCTCGCAAGCGGATCTTCTCCCCACCCCTGCATCCTCCTTCCCGATCCTCCCGCTGCCGCTCACGATGCACACGCGGACACGCGGGTGGCAATTAAACGGGTTAACGACACTTCGGCTTACATGTTTGGCTGAACAATGTAATTCATACTTCAGCTCCGTTTAATTGGCAGGAACGTGGTCTCGCGCGTTTCGTGAGAAGATCAAGGATCAATCGCGTGAAAAACATATCCGGTTTTTTGTCTTGTCTTTTTTCTTATCTGACACATTCACAATGTATATATGTACGAGCTTATTTACGTTACGCGAACGTTTTTTTTTTTTTTTTTTCTGTATTTAGTTGTTTAGCGCAAAATGCCCTTCTCCGACTTGAAAATTACTTCCACGCGAAAAACTAAAGAGGCACTCAAGCTTCAAGAGTGCAGACGGTCTTCTATATATGGTTGATTTCAAGTAGACTAGCGGGAATTTAATTTCAAGGTTGAGCACTGTGCGATTGAAAACGTCGAAAAATTGGAGCGCGCTTGGAAATTTCACGGAGCGCTTGACACAAATTTTTAGAGTGGGTTCTCCACGTTTTTAGGCGCGGACTCCGGAGATTTCGTACGGAGTCTCTTCAAAATCGCCGCGAGTATTAGTCATGAGATACTAAACTACGAAGAGACGGGGAATCCGACTTGTGTGTTCAAATCGATCAAAGACTTTCGATACCGGCGAGAGATATCGCGACCGGATTCTGTTCGATTGTTCGATTCGCGCACGCTTTCACCTTTCTATTTCACGTCCAATGTTCTTTTTACACATTACATACACGGAATATGCACGCGTTTAGAATCGATACGCGATCGTTTGTCGCTCACGAAAATTCGAAGAAACGTCAGATAAACGTCGAGGTTTTCAGGAAAACCTCGTCGATTTTCGAGGGGATCGACAAATTTTCATCTCCCATTTGCTCTTCTCTATCTCGTGCCAAATAGGCGACGATGAGAAACAGACTTTCGTCGAGAAAGGCAAATACGAGTTTTCACATAAAAACAGATATTAAGTGCATATACTGATTCTTGTGCCAAGATTAGACGCTGAGTTGTCCGACTCAGTCGGAAAATCTCGCATCAAATACGATATGTATGTCTCGAGATCGAAATCTTATAAAAAGAACCTTATAAAATAAAACCATATTATTTTCGATGTTAACGCGAAACGCTCGTAAATTTTTTAAAATTTTATTTTCGAAACAAAAAGAAGATGCACTTTCGCACATCAATAACGTCGAGAAGAGGTAACTCGGAGACTTTATGTATATATCGGCGTCGTTTTCTGCTTTCGTGTCCGGAGGTCGAGAATCCGCAAGGAGATGGCACGATCGCCTTACGCGATCGATCGTTAGTACAGATGCAGCGGGGATTGAGTTATGACGCCCGCACACTCTTTTTCCCCCGCCCGCTCCTCACTCTTCTCCGCACATTCTCGGTCGTAAACTCACATCAATATGATTAAATGTACGGTACTACTTAGCAAAGAGCATATAATTTCTAAGGAGGCTTTCATTCCGCAAGGGAGTGCCGATAATGAAACGTACGTGCAGTTGAGAGCATATATAAAATGGTAATTAACGCATGTATATATATATATATATATATATATATATATATATATATATAATATGTATATATACATATATATATATATATGTATATATTATACAAATGCAGAGAGAAACCCTAACCACAAGTACTCGCCCCTGAATCTATCTGAGTAATTGTCTGAGGGTCTTTTTTTTCTTGTTGTTTAAATATATAAACTTAATCAAGCTGTACATAATTAGCCGAAGCGTTGGTTTTATGTGCACTATATAAAGGACCGGGGGTGGCGGGGGAGGGGGTGAAAGAAGGAAACTTATATATACACATGTCGTATGTACATATGTCGGCTGGACCAAATGTAATATATATCACAGCCGCAAATGTATGTGTGTGTACGGGCGGGTGTCTATGTGGATTGGATGGTACGTGACACCCGCTCTGTGAGGGAAAGAGATATAAAGGGGTAATATTGAAAAAACACATCAAAGTTCCGAAGAAACCACACAACTCCGTGCCAGTATGTACATATGTGAGAGATGAGGGGGGAAGAATGTTAATAGCGTATCATATCAGCGCATCAGCGGTTTGTAATCGCAACGAAAAAAATCGTTCTGCAATCGGCAATCGCTGCGGCGTTCGCTTATTTCTTCGCGCAGGAAAAGGGAAGGAAAGAAAAGAAAAAAAAAAAAAAGAGAAAAACAGGTCGACAAGAGATCGATTTCCTGTGCCGCAACGCGGAACGCGCGCGGCAAGTCGCCCGCAAGTCGTGGCGTTTGGCGCGCGCAATGATATATTATCAGAAAAAAAAAAAAAAAAAAAAAAGAAGAAAAAACACAAACGGGGAGAACAAGAGATCGATTTCCTGTGCGGCACAGCTACCGTCGAGTTGCGTTCAGAGACCTCGTTTTGTGTTATTAAATGTTAATGATGTACCTCAGAAGAGACAATCTTGTTTTATGGAATTGCATCTACCATCAAAAAACCGAGATAATTTCGTTGAGATCACATTTCGATGCGAAATACACGGACAAAGATAAATCTTTTGTACTAGTCCACTCAATCTCTCTCTCGTCTACTGATTTTTCGCATTGTGAGCTCATCGAGATTACATCGATTAAATTGATTTTGTTTGCGCGTACGCGTTTGCGTCCGATACTACCACCATCACCATCAAAATCGCACAAGGAATCGTTTCGATAGCATTTTTGCGAAATGTCGCAAGGATGCGTATGTTAAATATCGCGCGTGGTGTGCGCGATGGTCTCTCTGGAGGGTTCGAAACCGGTAATCGTTTCGGCGAGTTTGGATGCCGCGGTTTTTCTCGCTAATTTCGATTCTGTTTCTCGATCCTGTTGCCGATTCTTTGTAATCGAGGCTCGAACACGAGACACGAACGAAGAATCGGTCGACGTATAAAACGAACGTTTGTGAAAGCGAATCTCGCGACTGAGGTGAACACCACTACCACCACCACCACGATTGTCGAACGTGATGGAAGGTTTGTTTTCGCGTGTTTACCAGAAACGCACACGCACACACGGCGCACACAGAAAAAACCCGATGGGACCAAACTCACCGAAACTAAAAGCCGGTTTTGATCGTTGTTATCAGAGATATTCAAATCAAGCGAGAATTCTGAGTTCGTTATCACGTATATAATCGGCACCTACTTGCAATTCTCGGATGCTGCTGCTGCTGCTCGAACAGAGTGCTGGGAGAACAGTGCTTTGCGAGAGAGGCGAAAAACAAGTAAAAGTAGTAGAAGAGAAGGAGGATGAAAATGAAGAAGAAAATAGAGAAGAATCGGCGTTACCTGCAAGCTGAACTCACCAGAGGGGCCTCTCGCCGCCTCGCGGGGAATCGGCCTGTAGTCCCGACCGGAAGCGTCCGGAAGTCGCGGTTGGTATCGTGGAGAACGCTCAGCCAATCCCGCGCCACCTCCTTAAACGAACGGGGGCTTGGGATTGGCTGCTACACAGTCTCAAGGCCGCCGCTGGGTGCTTCTCCTTCTGCCCTTCTCCCAACGGCAGGGGCCCCGTGTGTGTGTGTTCTCTCGTGCACTACATGGCCGCGCGCGGGGCCCAGCGGAGAACAGCGATCGGGGTGGCGACTCCGCGATTCCGCCGCTCTGGAAAAATTCTGGCGCTTCGATCGGATCGTCGAATGGCGCGGCGGCGAAAGAAGCGGCGGAATTGTCGAGTCTACTCACAACCCGATGGACGGAGAAAAGCGCTTGTGTATGTACACACATGGTACATACACGTATCTCCGTCGATCGGCTCACTGCCGGGACGTGTGTGTGAGTGTCACACACACTCGTACACAGCAGAAACATCTAACGCGTAATTTTCTCTCGCGAGATGATAAAATCTGCCGTAAATCAACGCGAGTAAAAAAAAGAATTTGATTTATATAATTTATAGCTAAATAAATTTTAAACGACGAAGAACCAAAATGATGCTCGTTAGACACGACAGCGGTATTTATTTTCCTGAAGTATTTGAGCGTTTGGAAATAATCTTTCTGGAATTTCAAAAGTTCTATGCGGTATTTACAAGATATTTGTGCTGTGTGAGATATCCAAGGAACATTCGTTAAACGGTCCATTGAATATCCGAGCGGTAATAAGGAGTAGACGGCAATTTTGTGTAGAGGACAGAGGAGAGAAAGGGTTGTCGTTCTTACAAGGAGATCTTTTTTTTTTTTCTCATGAATCCTCTTACTATCTATCGTTCACGTGTCGATTTATACGTCAACGACGCCAGCACAATGCGACAGGTTCAGATTGGAATGTGAGCAAGACCGATTAGTATAATCTATGATGCCAGATTGGAGTGTGGATTGGAAAAAAAAAAAAAAATTCTTACAATTTTGTGCCACAATTTTTTTGTTACATATCGAATTGGTTTATATTGATGCATAATTATAGTCCAGATCGCTCCTCGCGGAGGAGGAGAACTCGCATAATTTTGCAAAACGGGTCGTTTAACAATGCGTAAAAAGTGGGATCTCCGCATGGATGCATCGGATGCACCTCGAAGTGCGTAGCGTGAAGCCGCGTTGCGTAAAATGACTTCGACAAAAGGTGTTACGCGATAAAAATTGCACACATTTGAATTGCACACATATCATAGTGCATTCTCTGTAATATAAAGATGTCAACAAAAAAAAAAAAAAAAAAAATAATAATAATAATAAGATTCAAATTCTATCCGACGTGCTACGCGGAAAACGAAAGGAACGAGTTTTTGCTACGCAACTGCGACTTCGAGCTTAATTGATCGGGTCAGCTGTTAAATTTAGCGTATATGAAACAATACAAGTATATATTGAGGCGCGGTATATACACGAGGTGTTCCGGAAACTGCGTACCTCTCTCTTGACCACAACAACAAACGTTTATCGCGCGTTGATTCGTTGAATTTCTAATGATAAAAAAAAAAAAAAAAAAAAAAAAACATTATTTTGATTTTAATCTAAAACAAATTCTCTGAATTTCTTCTTTTTCCTTCCGCATTTATGACATAATATTTTGTTAAGCAAATTAGAACAAATAAATGTAGTTTTAATGAATTAAATCTAGTAGTATAATTTTTCAAACGTTGAATGACGATTCCAGACGTGATTATCATATCAACCGATATTGCATCGGACTTGCATCACGATATTAATCGTGTTTTGCGTCTCGAACGTTTACCGTGTTAATAAATTTTTGCGCGACGTCTTAATAATTTGTGCGAATAAATTTTTTTTTAAGTGTTTTTGACACCGCCAGTTTTTTCACACGTTATGCAAAAAAACTACTTTCGATGCAGACAACAGTTTCAATTAGTCTATGTTGCATTAAGAATGACTCAATCAAAAATTCAAAATGTCTGTATTTTCTATATTTAAAGGTTATATAAACACACATCAATAAACTTGCGTTTTATTTGCCCTTGCGTTAAAATTATACTACCAGAGACAAAACTTTGGTCATCGATATTGAAATTAAATTTTATAAATTCTATATTACTTTTTGTTATATATAGAGCGGTCCTTGAGATGAAAATATGTATATATTACCTAAGTAAATCTCGATATCGTCTCGCTTCTTACAGCGAGCAAGGAAGTGCGCATCTTCCGGAACACTCTGTATAAGTGCATGTAACGTACGGCAATTGGCCATGTGTGTGCGCACGATTCACGGACTGTCGACGATCAGTCAGCCCTCTTGCCGAGCGCAAAGGGGTGAATTGAGGGCAGCGCTGGCCGGCGGAGCTCTGCTCCTGGATCTACGACGAGACGGCGGCTCTCGTCGCGCCTCTCCCTTCCTTCCTTCCTTCCTTCCTAGTTGGGTCGCTTGCGGGGGTGATTTTCGGGGAGGCTAAATTCCAACTTCCAACTGTTGCGCAAATGGCGTGGCGCAAACGCAGTTTCGAAGGCGTGGCGATCGACAAAGGGCTCGGAAACGGCCGATAACGCGCCGTTTTCCATTCCCCTTCCTCCCTCTGTGTGTATGTCTCTCTTTCTCTCTCTCTCTCTCTCTCCTCTTTTTACTCTCTCCCCCTCTGATCTTTTTTTCGCCGCCTCGTTACGCACCACCTGCGGAGTAGGAAGCAGCCTGGCCGCAGAATAAACGAGTAGCGCGCGTCGCTCCAGTCAGGATCACAGGATTCATAAACGCGCGAGGGGGAGGAGGAGGAGAGTAGAAGTGGTGGCGGTGGTCACGTCCAACGAGATGCCCTCCCTTGGTGTGTAAATGGCACGAGCGTCTGAAAACACACACGAGTTGGTCTTTATCACAATTGGTATTGAAGAACGTCTCTCGCTTCATCGCCTTACACCTCTCTCTCTCTCTCTCTCTCTCTCACTCCATTCTCTCTTACACGCACGCGTACACACACACACACGCCTCTCTTACACGTTCTTCATTACACTCATTCTATCTCTCTCTTTCGCTTACTATTGGGACTGCTCGACGCATTTTCCATAAAGCACCGCTCTCGATGAAAGAACAGACGCGTTCGCAGTTTCTCTCCGTTTCTCTCGGACTGTAAAAAACCACGAACACGCTTAACCTAGAAAGCGCGCGCGACGCCCCATTCTCGAAACGATCGACGACTTCCTCGTTCTTCTCTTCCGTCTCATCGTTGTCGTCGTCGTCGTCTTCGTTGCTTGTGACACGATGCGCCGTGTGATCGAGTCATCGCGTGAATTTATTGCCTCTTTTCTCTCTTTCTCTCTCTCTCGCTCGATAGAGACAGAGAAACGGACGGATGGACAGGCGCACGCACGCACGCACGCACACACGGGCCAATACACGAATCGTCGGGCGATCGTAGAAAGGCAAATTGAGATTCTTACGTTGTTGCGGTAGCGCAGGTTTCTGCGTGACGACGACGACGACGACTCTTCGTGCTCGCGCGCCACTCGACGCTGCTTCACGATGACGACGACGTTTCGCGGCGGTGGCGACGGACGATAACGACGCGATCGAACGGAGAGAGAAGCGGAGGTTGTGTGACCTCGACGCGATGCACTTCGGCGTAAGGTGCAGTCCTCCTGTGAATCGCTCGTCTCGCATCGCGCACAAGTTTTGACGGCGACGGGACGGAGCACAGACCGCGCGGGGGAACGCGAATTATCTCCGGCCATGGTAAGCGAGCGCGCGACAACGAAGCGGTGCGACCGCGATTCGGCGATTTTGTTTTTTCGGTTTTCGGCGCTCTTTCTCGATTCTCGCTCGCTCACTATAACGCACTTAGCTTATGGCTGCGATCGATAGATTTTCCGCAGAAAAAAAAAAACGCGATTATCCGATATCGCGTCGCGATTCATTCTTGATCGCGCGAACGAGAATTGATTTCACGGCGACGGAAAAACAGCCGCGACGAATGAGATTCGTAGCAAAGACGAGAATATGAAACGAAAAATAAACATACGAGAGTTGTGTTCTAACCTCAAAATGGCCGTTTCAGGATGTCTCCGCGTTTTCCGAGGAAACCTTCGACGTGAAGGAGTGGATCAACCGGACATTCAAATCCGCCGAGGCGCAGGAGAACAAGGATGTGAGTCGTGCGTCCATCATCTCCGTCGTCTGTCACGTCAACGCGCTTTTCGTATTTTGAGTCGCGTTGCGACGCCCGTCGGTCGCCAAATGTCGCCAAACTGACGGCTGCCGCCCGCACGCGACCGCGGTCAATGACATCGCGGCCGTCTGTTTTCAAATTACGTCGTCTTTTTTTCACGCCACAAAAAAGGAAAACTTTGTTTGGAAAATGAATTTTTGTTTTTTCGGGTTTATAACCCGCATTTTCGGTGTACTTCGAAAATTACATCGTAATATTACCGGCGGACGATAAACAATTCCGTCTACATATATATATATGTATTCGGCACCTCTATGCATATTTTTCTATACATATTTTGAATAAAATTTTTATGCAAATGTTTCATACATATTGATAGCGAACTGTTGACTTTTTCCACAATGTAAATTTTAACGTAATTGTAAAAATTAAATAAACTGGTGTGTTGGCGTAGTAATGAAAAAAAAAAAAAAAAAACCCATTTTTTTAAACAGATGTTTAATATACATCTCTTGTTTTTCATTTTTACGTTATTATGTTAGTTTTATTCGGTTATACTTTGAAATATATTGTTTATTTCTACTAAATTATTGATTTCTTTTTTAAGGCGTTTGTTTCGTCATTAGTGATGAAGTTGCAATTGTACGTGCAACAAGTCAATGGCGCTTTGGAAGAGACCAGTCAATCAGTTCTCTCGAGCTTGCCAAGGATTTTGAGAGACACTCAATTACTGCAGCAAGAAACATTAGCGTTGCGAGAGAAAATGGTCTCTGTGAAGCAAGAAATCGCCAAGGTTAACATGTAGACTCAGTTTATTTATTTTTACGATATTGATATTTATTACACGTCTATTGCAATTATTTTGAAACAAACAGGTCGAGAAAGATACGGCCTCCTCAATGGCAATGCTGGAGAAGATTGACAGGATAAAAACAGAATTACAAACCGCTAAGCAAGGATTACACGAAGCCGATAATTGGACAGTATTGGCAAATGACATGGAAGAGGTATATTCGAGACTTTATATTCTCTAGTGGTAAAATAATATAGTACGACTATAGTAGTACGATTATGTGAACTTAATTGCAATTTGTTTTCTTTATGTTTACATCAATAGCTATTTGAATCTGGTGATATAGAAGCTATATCTGACAAGTTATTCAGCATGCAAAAGTCATTAGCTATGCTTGCGAATGTTGTCGACTACGAGGATAAAAAGTTGCAATTGGAAGGCTTGAAAAATCGTCTTGAGGCAATGGCCAGTCCGCGATTGGTCCAAGCCTTTACTGCTGCCAATTTAGGTACAGTCTGAAATAATTTTATTCATTTGTTGTCTGGCATGACACATGTTTAATGCTGATGAGTCTTTTTCTGTTTAGTGCAATCCAAGATTTATGTGGACATTTTTAGCAAAATGGAACGTCTGCCCCAGCTTCTCAAATACTATCACAATTGCTTGAAGGTTTCTTTGCTCCAAGAATGGAGACGCACCATAGAACTGGCGCAGGATGAGAATGTCACGTACTGGTTGCACACGTATTATGACAAACTGTTGTCTTCTTGGCACGAGCAGGTCTCTTTCAGAGATTTAAGATAAATTTTGATTATTTCTGTATTTCTTGGGAATATTTTCTACAGATTTTGATCTGTTCAGGTTAAATGGTGTCATCAAGTGTTTCCCAATACTTCAAAAGATATTCTCATTGATGTTTATGCCGATCTTTTGAAGAATCTGGATCCTGGTATTCCGGAATGCATAGAAGCGGTACTCAAGCAACATTCGACTGCGGTGCAATTGTCTATTCTGCTCGAGTTGAAACAGATGACAAAGCATTTCGCCGTGAATTTGAGCGGCGCGATCGAAACGTCAATTCGGGGAAAATTGCAAACTGAAAAATTGCTGTCTCTGGCGCAGGCTATGTACGCACCTTACGTTCCTTACGTCGCAAAGTACAACATGTTTGAGACCGCGCAGTTGGGAGAGCAACTCCAATTCCTGGATCGTTCGCACGACGATTTGAGCGACACTATCAATGCATTTTCTCTTAGCATTTCGAGAATTATGGGCTATGCTAATGAAGCTAACAAACGCTGCAAACTATTTACGGAAGGCTGTGGATATCCTGGTTTATTGCATTCGTTGAATGTTCGTTAAAGATTCATTTTGTATAAATTTGCGATTAATTATTGCATTTTTTTTTTTGTCGCGTTAACAGTGTTAAACTCTTGCAGATTTATTTCAACAAATATCTCGACAAATATCAGCAAGGTTTGAGACAACTCGAACGAAGAAAGGTAAAACACGAAGACTGGAATTTATTCCAAATGTGTCTCACGTTGATGCAGACTATAGGTAATCGTCACTTAATTATCAATCTCTTTTACGTGATATTCTGAGACAATTATTTGAATCGCATTATTTTATGTAGGCGATCTCTTGCAACAAGTGCAGCAATTCGAAAAGTCGCTCGTGATTGACATCACAGAAGCCAATAATAAATTACAAAGCACAAACGAAAGTGTATTCTGTCAGTATAAGAAACTATTGCTAACTGAATCGGGACGTGCTAATTTAGAAAATCTCGTTGCATCTTTTCAACGAGGTGCGTATATGTTACACATGCAATAATTAATATAATTTTAATTTTTCAAATTGTTTTTTATCAAATTGTTTTTTCTTTCGTAGAAGACGAGACGATTCTCGATTCGATCATAAAAGCCATTCACAAGCTGTGCTCCGATTTACATCACACGACGTACGAAGTGATCTTCGCTCCGATATTCTCTCAATTGTTACTCGTACAAAAAGCGCCGGCTTGGTCATTGGAAGCCAACAAAATGTCCAATCTAAGTTCGGGCCTGCCTGATTACAGTTTTGCTCCTCAAGAATACATTACGCAAGTTGGACAGTATCTGATGACGTTGCCGCAACACTTGGAGCCGTTTTTATTGCGGGACAATCCGAGTCTAACCCAAGCGTTAAAAGCTGCCGATCCTCAATACGCTCAGGGATCGACCGAATCCGGATTCACCGGTATACTATTGGACATCGTTGCTCGAGGAACGTGCCAAATGTTTCAGGATCAAACGTTGGGCATCAGTCAGTTGAACTCGGTTGCCTGCAAACAGCTCGCAACTGATATCGGTAAGTGTCTCTCGCGTGTTGCAGCTTCAGTTGCACAATTTTGAGAGAAATTACTAGCACAAATACAACTTATTATGTGTGTTTGTAGATTATCTAGGCAACGTACTGGAGGAGCTTGGTTTAAGCTTATCGGAAAATCTCCAGCATATGTCTTTGTTGCTGAGGTTACCGCCAGAGGATTATCAGAACGGTAGTTCCGGCTGCAACGCCCGTATTGTAGCTGCGGTCAGACAAATGCGTAATATCACGTCCTCCGGCTGACACGATCCTTATCAAACGGAACGCGTAAAGTAAAGATCTATTCTTGATACGCTATGGTGTTCGCGAATGTGCGTCCAATTATTCTCCAAAGTTCGGGCAGAGCTTTATTTACATCTGCAGTTCTTGTGAGAGACGTGAACTTTGTTGTGACATGTTTCTTGAAAGATCAAATCAAACTTGGCCACGTCGGACATGAGTTTTCCCAAATAAAGTTTCGTCTGAATAGAGAGAAACGTTACAACGCTATGTATTTTCGATAAATAATTTTTTATATTTGCGCGTATGTGAAATTTATATACGACTGTAAAAGGCAAACTCATGTACAAAAGTATTATGTGTAATATATTAACAATAACTCTCATACTTTGAGTCATTTTTCACCTAACCTAACGTACAAATTTTAACATTTTCTGATCGGGATAAAAGATGTGTGGATGTGCTTACGAAATATAGTTTGCTCGAATTTACTTCATAATCGTTTTATTGGCTACATTATGTCTGAACTGAAATACTGGTAACTAATTTCCTTTCCCCGCATCTTTAAGTAATGTTTCAAGATGCGGAGATGCAACTTCAATGTTTGAAACATATATATATTTCCAATCCTTCCTTCTCTCACACTGTGTTCATTCGAGGTTTACGCAACTATAAAAAAAACAACTTAGAAAGATCTCGCAGCACTTCTCATCTAAAATAGCTCGGGACACACAGTTTTATGCGCCGCACAAAGGCGTGAATATACTTACAAAGAACATGAGATATACACACATATATATATACATATATATGTATAAGAGCTAGGAAACCGACCGTTTTTTTTTTTTTTTTTTAATACCGATAGAGATTCATAGTTGAGCAGTTTCTCTTACTCTCACACTCACTCTCTTCTTCTCTCTCTTTTTCTCTTTCTTTCTTTCTTATATCACATGTGCTCGCACGTATAAAGTTCGAGATGAGTACGAATCAACGTTTTTCAACGAGTCGTGTCAAAAGATAAAATGCAGCAAATGCGTGTTTCACTTTCGAGCAGATAGTCTATACATTACCGCATTTTAGATCGAACATAAAAATATCTAGTTTATATATGCATAGATATGCATTGCAATGACACGTTATTACGTTCTTTGTGTCTTTTTTGTCCTTTTTGTCAATTTTATTTACATATGTGCATTTGCTACATTTTTTTTTTCACTATCGATTACATCGCAAGCTTTTTGCGTAGAACATACGAGGTCTTCTTTTGTCGACTGCATCGGACTGCGTTAAAACTGTGACGTAGAGCGTTTTCAATGGACAAACAGGTTTAATTGATCCTATATAGAGTGATTAAATTCGCTCCAATCAAAAACGCTAACAGGCACGCGGCCTGATCATCAAAATTTGTCGCGAAGGACAATTTGTTGTCAAAAATGTCACAGCAATTGCACGCAATGTCAATTAGTTGCAAATTTCACATAATATGCTTTTCGATGACTGTCCGTTTTCGATACAAATTTTGCTATTGTCAGGATGAGGACAAAGCTCATCTTCTACCGCGGCAGTGCAGCTCCGGTACAGTCGAAAAAGAAGAAAAGACCCATACGCGCAAAATCAACAATCGTTGGTCGTTGATCGAGTAACATTTCACTCGTTGCGAATGTATTCAATCGATAATAAAGTTAACGTCATACCCTGCGCGTTTTCTTAGTTTCCTTCTTTTTTTTGTTTTTGTTTTTTTTGTTTTTTACTTTGCGTCAATCACGCAACAAGTTAATTCGCCTAAGGTATACAAGTAAGTGAACGTTAGAGTACAGCATGATAAACTATATATGCACGAATTCGTTAACACATACGTAATTAATTTGATATATAGTTATATAGCACTTGTGCGTAAGTCTTTCACAATCGTACGACGCGAAATCGTTTTATCCTCACAAAGAAAGAATATCGTACGAAATATATACTTACAATATGTAACAAAACTTTTTTAGACAGAACAGACAATTCTCTTATCGTGTGAGTGAAGCGTCTCTCTTATAACTTCAATAAAAAAGAAAAACTATATCCCAAGTTAATAATAATAATGCAGCAAGTGTCGCGTTAACGTGCTCGCTAGTATCTTCGAATTGCGGATGCGCGACGCAAAAACGACGACGTCAAAAAATATCAACAATATCGCCAACAATTCGCATACAAATTTATATGTATAAAAAAATCTGAGTTT